AATCATCGATAGATCACGTGATATTAATAGTTTTCGATTTTTATTCCAGTGATGCGTTATTTTTGATCGCCACTGTAAGAGAATTATTAAAATGTTACAAAGAATTAACGAACATACTTTACGCCACCAAATCATCACCACATATAAAAGCTTTTGAGTTCTCCACCACAAGTTTGTAAGTATATCACTTCTTTAAATTAAATAAAAAATGGAAAAAAATTTTTTCGTTCAATTTTATTTATTTTATTTATGTACAATAGATATCAAGATGCTAAAGGGTTTTAATCGTTGAATTGTCAAATTCTAAAATTTCTTTAAGCGCTACTCCATCGAATAAAATTTCGATCTCTTCAAAGAATTCACTTTCTCAATCAGGAATTACGATATCGAAAATCGACCGCGGAATTTATTTAGACACACTTTTTGAAATAGTCAATTTACAAAAATTCCTATACAATGAGACTTTATTTATAATCCAAGAAATTTCGAAAGCGGAAAAACTAATAGCTACAAAAATTCAAGAATTTTGGTATAAATTTGCTTTAAACTTACAACTTTCTATTCAAAAACATCTAAATACCATTAAGGAAGTAGCAGTATCCGCTCATTATTATAGATACCTACTTTTGACCAATGTAGAAAATGTTAGAATTGGAACTTAAGAATATTTATCAATTAAAATACTCACCTAAAGTACCTCGGATAAACATTGTGAAAATGTGTATAAAGGTTATGAAGGGCATTATGAATACATGTGGACGTTATGAATATATTATTGCAAAGGGGAAATATAAGAGCGAGCGTTATCGATATCAGATTAGAGAAATTATTGGAAACCTTTGATATTGTTGAAACTTCAAGTATTGAAGAAAAATTAGAAATTCATCGTGTAATTCAAAATGAATTTATAAGTTCAGGTATGTTTAAGAAATTATGTATGAATAATTTGTATTTTCTCTGTATTTATTTTTTTCCATCATTTAATCAGGGCATTTATACGAATGCCCCGGTAAGTAATTTTATTTTTGTAATTAAAGTACAATATAATTTATTGAATTATAGGACAATTGTTTTTTTAAATATTTTATAATTTTTTAGTATATTGTCGGGAATGTGATGACGAGCAAATGAAAATGCAATTTCAATGCCTAGATTGTGTTGCAACTTTTGACGTTGGAAGTGAAACAAAAAACGAAAGTAATTGTCGTATAATGTAATATACAATTAAGTTTACATTGTGAATTATTTTGCAACTTTTTTTTTTGACAAAATTTCATAAATTTGATGAAAGATTTTTTGACTATTTTTAAATTCCATATCAAGTATTTCATTGTATAGTCTTTGAAGTAATAGTTTTTTTAAAAATAAAAATATGTTATGTTTTTTTAAGTATTCACGAAATATGATTCTTCGAATTGCAGGTGTATATCAAAACTAATGTATCATAAAAATTCAATAATGAGTAAAGATATATATATATGCTGTATATATATTAAAGTCTAATATAGAATGTTAAGGTGGCATTTTTCGACGTAAAAAAAAAAAAAAAATAAAAAAAAAAATATTAGATCAGAAAGTTTGCGGAACCTTTGCAATAGAAAGGGGAAACTGCCGGGAAAAATAAAATAAATCTAAATTCAAAAGTATCTCGACCTGAAAATCATATTTAGCTAGTAAAATTAATTTTTTTCTGGCAGATTTCCCCCTTTCTATTGCAAAGATCCCATATTTTCAATATTCATTTTTATGATACCATTCGTTGGACGGCAGAGTCAACTCTGCAAAAACCAAGTGTGACTGAGTCAGAACATCGCGAAACTCTCAATTAAATAAAAGTTTCAAAATGGGATGGGATTTTGACAACTTTAATTCTGGCTAAACATTTTGATAATTTCAGTCGAAATGCACAGTTATGATTGCTAATTTCAAAAAAGAGACGTGACAAAGTTAACTGAGACTACGTCATTTCAAGACGAGATTGGTAAAATATCTTTTAATGTTAAGACAAAGAGCAATTTTTTTTTTCAACAATCATACGCATTAAAAGATGTACTTGAATCAATAATTGATTTTTACAAATAAAAAAGGTTAAGTCGAAACAATATTCAAAATCATTATACAATTTCAACTCGTGACTTTGAATTCATATCTATAAGTTGGTGTTAAAAAGATGAAAAGGGCATTATATTGAAAACAAATATAATATATGGAACTAGAAGCTTTACATAGAAAGAGCTACATAAAATTCTGAAAACAAGCTTATTTAATATTATTTGTAACCATTACCAAAACAGAAATCAGTGTATACAACATGTAGCACAATCCGTGCAACCACAATTAATATGTTCACAATTCGCGCAGGGGCATTGCCTTTTCACCAACGTTGAGTGTTTCTCATTAGAAGAAGGAGCTGAGAAAGCTACACTGAAAGCTGAAATGACAATAATAAGCATGAAAATGTGAATTTTCATGATGATTTTGGAAGTATTTGAATAATTAATATCACAAATGATTTTATAATATGTGAACTTTATAAACAGATTCTGTAGCTTAAAGACGTATATTTATAAGCAAATCAGATTAGAGTTACAGTTTAAATTACTTGATGGAATTGCTGTCTCTTGACAATTTGATAACAAAATTTCCTTCACTTTTTATAGTTTTTTTTCAAGTATCAGGCTTACAGTACTTATCCTTAAGAAACTTATATTTGCTTGCTAGAGATTCTAATAAAGAACGTTACAACCTTTACAGCCTCTCAAATGCTGTAAATATAATCGGTTAGAAAAAAATTTAAAGTTATTATATATACAATGAATATAATTCTTCCCACAGACGATAAATCAATTCCGGCAGTTCGTAAATGGGATATTGATGTTGTGATGGCATTGTTTGCTGTTACTAAGCAAAGAGGCTTTGGTAATGTAACTAAGTAAGAAGTTTTGATAACATAACTAAGCCAAGAGGCTTAGAAACGTAACTAAGCCAAGCCATATGTTAATAGATTCAAAATTCCTCTTTTATTTCAATAACAAAATATAAATTTCGATATATAGTAAAAATAGATACTGTTACGTTTAATATAATTCCGCCCGAAAGATCACGATTTACGCTTGTAAATTGCTTTCGATAATTGTGGCTGGTCTTTGTAGGTCATTTTCAGGATGGTAGTGTTGTATTCAGTTCTTTCGTTTATGTATTATAAATAATTTTAATTGTAAGCAAGCAAAAGGTTTTTATTGAGAAAAATCAATTATTTATATCAAATTAATCAGTGTTGCCTCAACGTCGGCGCTCTACACCTTCGCAATGTCAATATATTAAACTAAATAAATTCCCAATCAATAAAACTCTAATTAATTAAAACTAATCAATTACGAAAAGTTGAATAATAAAATAATAAGAAAATCGTGAATTAAAAAAAAAAAAATAAACAAAGTAACAATAATAAAATTTAAATGTTAAAACGGCGAAAACGAAAATATCGCTAAGGGATTAAAGGAAAGTTTTTAAGGTGTATATGTTGATGTTGTTGTCTCAGATGACAATTTGCGATGCAGACTGGCCTAAATTATGGGCCTATTTCGACATCTGACGCACAACATATATATGCAAATATAAGAGGAATGTTAAGTTGTTTAAGAATTTTAGCTCGTATTTATAAAAAAATAATTATTAGGACAGCCTGGCATCCTGCCATTTTTTCATCCTGACATCCTAACAACCTGGCACTGTCAAAATTATCCTCAAAAGCCTTACTGCACATACAAAATTATGATGTCTTCGGGCGAAATTATATTTATGTACAGTAATAGTACATGTGTTTTGACAGCGCCTGACAAATAATATATTTGCAATCTTATGACAAGTTAAAAAAAAAAAGATTTGCGCCTCATAAAGCTCGATTATTTCATTAATTCAAGTTCTGCAACTAACGCTTCTTCGAACATATATCAAAAAAAAAAAAATAATAATAATAAAATCTGAAGTTTTAACATGACATGCTCCTATTTCCCTAAAGATAGAAATTAAGCTTTCATAAAGACTATTGCGGAACGTCTGCCAAGCAGTGATAGAACTTATTATAGTCAAAATTTTCGATTTTTGCTTTAAATTTCAGGTAATTTTAATTAGATAGATCCATATAGTACGAGTTATTAAATAGGTTTATTATTCTAGAAGAAGCTAAAATCAATAAAAAGCATAGTGTGATAACTAATTATTATATAATTGCAATCAGATAATAAAAGTTACTTACGAACATGTTAACGTGATGAGGTTAATATGAAATTTAAAGCAGAGTTAGTTATAATTAAAATAAAAGCAACTAGAGAATTATAAACTTCCATCAAAAGGTCGGTATTGTATTAATAATGTGAGATAAGGCTTGCACCTATGTGCATACCTATACATACTTTTGGATGTGAACGCAGCAGTATATTAGCAAATATTTAACATTATAACTTTCTTATAAGTTTGTTCAATTTATTTTATGTTCATTTTGAAATATAAACGATATAAATGCCCTTGATATTGAAAAAAAACGGAGTTCAAATTAAAACTTTTATAGATGTATATTAAATTTAATTTTTCGAAGTCCATAGTAAAATAAATACATACCTGCCACCAAAGAATATCTTTATTTCGTACTGCATGAGGGGCATTTAAATATAATTCCACCTCGTTTTGTTAAATATTTTGTATTTACCATTTATGATTACATCACTCTCATCACCAATATTCTAAATCATCAAAAAAGTTTCTTTAGTAAGATTTGTTTCTATTAGGGACCTTAACCGCGTCCTTACGATAAGATTACTAATTCTAAAGAAAACTATAATAAGTAACCCTTTCAAAAAATTGTAATAAATTTTATTCTTAAAAAGCGAGTATGATATTCAAAATTGGCCATTTTTATTGGGTCGCTAAATATGGGACCGGTTCAAGGAATCCGATCCTAAATCCTAAAATTTTTAAATTCTGGGATTCCAAGAGGTTTATTAATTATTTTCAATAAGTAGCTCATTATAATAGACAAGTTTAATAATAAATTTGTAAAAATAATTTCTTTGTATTTTAGGATCGCTTAAAATCCCTAGTTTCCATTTTGGTCACTACTTTTTATTTTGTTGATATTTTAAATTATGTCGATCTTTATGTGAATAAAAATTAAACTTTATGGAAAAATTTAAACCGAGGGCTGAATTGTCCTTGCATAAAAAAGAGAATATTATCCTTGGAACAATTCTAAAAATCTCGTTACATAATGGTTTTAAGAAGAAATTTAGAACAAGCCTTAATAGACTTGGAAACAAGAATTAAGGATTTGGAACAAAGTAATTGAACGATTATGTTTACAATTCAAAAATTTAGAGGATAAGTTCGAAGAGCGAGAAGAAAACCAACGCAAGAAATTATTAATCATTTAGAAGAAAAAGTTATAGAACGAGAAGAAATAAACAATGACAACAAAATTATTAATGAATTAGAAAAAAGGATCAACAACCTTGAATTAATTATTTATGATGATACTACTGTTAGTTTAGCAATTACGGAACTTAATAAGGATGACATATTAAATACCAAAGGCGGATTGCAAAGATATTGAAAATTAGTAAAGCTCACTTGTGATTTTACTCAAATTACCAGCTTATCAATGATACCCGACTCCTTAACGGTACTCTGGTGTAATGGCACTAAACTAATAGCTTACCAACTTTACCCAACTCATTAACAGAACTTAATTGCTCTAATACTTCATTAACAATCCTATCAATTTTACCTAACTCCTTAACAAAACTCATTTGTCATTGGACTAAAATAAATAGCTTACCCTTTTATCCAATTCCTTAACAGAACTTATTTGTTCTAATACTCCAATAACTATTCTATCAACTTTACCTAACTCCTTAATAATTCTCTATTATTTTAATACTAAAATAAATAGCTTACCAAATTTTTCTAATTTTTTAACGAATATCAACTCTTAATCTTTAAAAACTCTATAAATCAATATTATAAATCAAAAACTTTAACTTTACATAATCTTTCTTTTAAGTTCATATTTTTCTTAGTAAAATGATTGCATGACAAACTTTTATTAAAAATATTAATATTTGAAGCTTTGAAATTTAATATTGCTTTTATTCTTTTAATAAGCAAATATTTAAAAAAAAATTTGCAATGATTATATTCATAAATTTTTATAATTGATAAT